GAGTGTCACTGCCCAGCCTTCCCCGGGGTGGCAGCATTTGAAATGACTATTTCTGGGACAGGCCCAGGGGACAGCACACTTGGAGGATGGTCTGAAGCCACAGAGCCTGGTGGCTGGGCCAGAATGACCAGTGATGTCCCTGGGGCTGGAGGCTCTGGATGCGACTTGTTCCTGATACAGGCCTCAGTTTCCCCATCTAAAAACTTGGTGGCGGGGTAGTGTGTGGATGTTAAGCAGCTGGGTTTCCTAGGTCTGAGAGGGATTCTTACGCAGTCTGGGTCTTCTGGACGGCAAGTGAGTGTCCCAGGCTTTCGGGAGCTGCCCCTGAGGCCACAGTGGGGACAGATGCAGGGACATTAGGATCTGGGCTTTAGGGAGGCGCCTAAACTGACCACTACCCTGCGCCAGCAGTGGTAGTCTGGGCGATCCTCAGGCAGGGTTCTGGGAGAGACAGAAGTAGGGAGAGACAGGGAATGAGAGAGGTGAAGCAGGAGAGAAAGGGAGAGAAACGGGGAAGGATGGAGGCTGGCACAGTCAGGGAGACACAGGCCCATCCCTGCCCTGCAAACCCAGGGGAACCTGGGGGCTCAGGGTCAGCCCCCTGTCCCCTCATTGGAGCAGCCCCTGAGTGGAGCGTTAAATCTCTGGTTTGTTGTTGTTGTTTTAAGATGTTGATGATGATGATGATGATGATGATTTTGATTTGAGAGATGGAGAATACAGAGGGAGAAGGAGAAGCGGACTCCCCGCGGGGCAAGAAGCCAGATGCGGGGGCTCCATCCGGGGACTCCAGGATCTTGACCTGGGCGGAAAGGCAGACGCTTAACCGACTGAGCCACCCAGGCGCCCACAAACCATGACTTGAATATTATCATGGATGATGTTAACCACAGCTTCATCTTGCTCCCTCTCCCACCTTCCCACCCTCAAAGAAGACTAACTACCCCCATTTTACCCACGGAGAAACTGAGGCTCAGGGCGCCCCAGGCTGCACAGCCAGCTGGGGACAGGGCGCAGAGCCAGGGCAGCCCCGGATCCGTGAGGCGGTGTGACCCGCCCCCCTTAACCCCGGACCGGAAAGCACACCCGCGACTGCCCCCTCCCCCCACCAGCCCTCCCGGAGTGTTTTTCTTCCCTCCTCCTGGGTGTTTTGGTTTCGGCAGGAGCGCCGTGGCGCGGCAGCAGGCGGTTCCCGCCGGCAGGGTCAGCCCAGGGCTGGCGGGGAGCCAGAAGCAGCTCCGGGCCGGGGTAGGGAGGACTCAGGGCGCGACCTACGCCCTCGCCCCAGCACCGGGGCCAGCAAGTCCGGCTCCCCCCCTCCCCGTGTCTTCCTCGGTCCTGGACAGCGGGGCCCAGCCGGGTCGCGGCCCCCACGTGTGGTCATAGGGGGCGCCAAGGGGCGAATGGGTCCGGGCGGGGTTTCCCACGTCGGTGCCAAAGTTCCGTGTGCCCGGTTCGTTATTAAACATTGATGGAGACCGCTGGGTGCCTGCCCGAGAGGCCTCCCGGTTGGGGGACTAGGGCGCAGATGCCCCAACGCCAGTGGGAGGGGGGGTTGCCGGCCGGACCCGGCAGGCGCGGAGGGGCAGGAGGATGGGAGAGTTGCGCGATGGCCAGGAGCCTTCTGGGCTAGGGCACCTAATCACAAGCAACCAAAGGAACACGTGAATTGGTCTCCATCAAGTTAAAAAAAAAAAATTTTTTTTCTGCAAAGGACACTCTTAAGAAAGTGAAAAGCTAACTCCCAGAGCTATAGAAAATATTTACAAATCTTGTATCTGACAACGGATCAATATCCAGACGATCTAAAGAATGCCTAGGACTCAGTAATAAAAAGATAAATAACTCAATTAAAAATAAGGAAAGGATTCAAATTGAGATTTCTCCAAAGATATAATAAATGGCCAATAAACACATGAAAAAGCGCTCAACACCAACAGTCCTCAGGAAAAGGCAGATCAAACTACAGTGAGACCCCATGCCACCTTAGGATGGCTCCCCTCTCCCTAACTGGGAAATAACAGGTATTGATGAGGATGTGGGGAAATCTGAACGCTCACACATTGCTGATGGGAATCCGGCAGCGCCTCGAGAGGAAAAGTGAAACACAGAATTACCCTATGACCCAACAATTGTCCTCCCAGGCATATACCGAGAGAACTGAAAACAGGTGTTCACACCAAAGCCTGTAAACCAAGCTCACAGCCGCACTGCTCACGATTGCCAGCAGGTGGCGCCCACAGGATGCCCATCAAGGAACGGAGAAACAGTGATCCAGCCGCGCAGCGGAATATTATTCAGCCATAAAAAGGAATGAGGTTCTGATTCATGCTACAACAACGGAGCTGAACTTCTAAAACATGATGCTGTTTATTCCACAAGAGCACAGACAGAGAAGGCCACGTGCTGTGTGATTCCACGGATAGAAAGTGTCCTAACAGGCCAATCCATAGAGAGCTGGTTTGATCTGCCTTTTCCTGAGGACTGTTGGTGTTGAGCGCTTTTTCATGTGTTGCCGGTTGCCAGGGACTGGGTGAAGTGGGATGGGGAGTGACGGTTCATGGGCATAGGGTTTCCTTTTGAGGTCATGAAAAAGTTCTGGAATTACACAAGGCAGTGGTTTCACAACATTGGGAATGCACCAAATGCTACAGAACTATTCACTTTGCAAGGGTGATTTGTATGGTGTGTAGATGTCTCTTTAAAAGAAAAAAAAAATGACAGGGGCTCCTGGGTGGCTCAGCGGGTTAAGCCTCTGCCTTCGGCTCAGGTCATGGTCTCAGGGTCGTGGGATCAAGCTCGTCATCAGGCTGTCTGCTCGGCAGGGAGCTGCTTCCCCCTCCCTCTCTGCCTACTTGTGATCTCTCTCTCTCTGTCAAATAAATAAATACAATCTTTAAAAAAAAAAAAAAGACAAAACACGAAAAAACAAAAAAGGAGGCATGAACAAAGGTGCCCAGTTGGGGGCAGGGCAACCTTGTCATCGCGGGCAGTTATGTGTGAGAGGCCCGGCCACGGCTGTCCTGTGTCATCTCCCACAGCCCAGAGTCCCCAGGGGGCCACTGATACCTCAGTCCCATCCTGGCTCGAGGGCAGAGACAGAGACAACATCTCTTTCTGACCAAACCTAGAGGCCACCGGAGAAATAGAGGAGGAATGTATCTGGGGAGGTAAACTGAGGCAGCCTCTCTCTCTGATAGAGACATGCTTCCTGACTCGTGGTGGAAGCCATGGTGAGAGGGAGACCAAGAGAGATAGAGACAGAGGAGAGGAAGTGAGAAGGGGCCAAGGGCTCTGGAGAGGCCACCTTATCCATTTTACAGACTAGAACACTGAGGCCAGCAGGGCTGGGTCACCCGCTCCTCTGAACGGCAGCAGGAAGAATCTTTAAACAACTCAGAAATCGGGTTTCAACAACCCTGCTCTAGGACACCAGCTCCCCCAGCACAGGACTGAACCCCCTAAGTTCCCAGTAGGCAGTGATCTCTAACACCCTCCTCTCACCCACTCCCCTATTAACCACACCCACCTCAGGGCCTTTGCTCACTGGTTTTGCTGGCCTCCTCTCACCATCTTGACCCTGGTATCACCCCTGCCTGGAAGCCATCTCTTACCCACTGTTCTTCACTGGGCTGAAGTTCAGCCCCGTTGTAGCACGATTCAGAACCTCATTCCTTTTTATGGCTGGGTAATATTCCACTGTGCGGCTGCGTCTGTTTCTCCGTTCCTCAATGGGCATCCCGGTGGGGCCCACCTGCTGGCGGCCGTGAGCAGTGAGGAGCACAGGAGCAGTAGGGATGGGTGTGGGGCCCTGGTTTTGAGGGGGTAGTTCTGAGCCCGGGGCTCAGATCCCTCTGGTTTTCTTCTATGAGGGCGCTGACCCAGCATCCCTTCCTGTCTGCCCACTCGGTCCTGCCACCGAAGAATGAGAACTGATTCACAAGGGAAGGCCTGCCAGGCAGGGAGGTGGCAAATTCAAGGGAGGGAGCATGCGCGGAACAGGGAGCAGTCACTCGTGGTTGGAGCACCGAGCCAAGGCTTCTGTTTCCCCATCTAAATGGAAAACTGGGGCCCCCCAAAGGGGCGGGGCCTGGACCGCTAGTCTCCCAGCCTGTGGGGCCAGACCGCTCTCACCCAGAGGCTTCAGGTCCTTTTGCCACAAAATTCAGTGGCTCTGGGTTCTAATCTCCACCCCTCCCCCTCCCGTCTCCACTTAACACCGGAAAAGTCTGTTTTGCAAACTCCCTAGCGGGTAGAGAGGGGCGGGGAGGGGGTGTACCCCCACGCCCCAGCTAGGCCAGAGAGACACGTGCTGCTGTTGCCACCTGGTGGCCGCCGGGGGAATCCGAGACGCCTGGTTTAACAATGGGAGGAGCTCTAGGCAGGAGGGGAAAGGAAGAGGGCAGATTCAGGGTGTGAACGGCACGGGGTGGGGGGGGGCGGGTACGCGTTCCCGCTGTGGGGCGTTGGGTGTCAGGAGAAAGGGGGAACCCCGATTCCTGACCTGATCCCTGGGCGGAGGGCAGATCGACCCCCAAACGGGGCGGAGTTGGGGGGGGAGCCGGCGGAGCTGGGGAAATGAACCAAGTCTCCTGTTTTGAAGGAGCCAAATCCCACCCCCCCTCGAGCCGTCCCTCCCCTTGCCCAGTCCTGACCCTGCCGAGTGATCATCATTCTGTCTCCCCCAATCCGGGAGCTCCTGGGGGCGCCCAGAGGGAGAGATGGATAAATGCGTGTGGAGAATGAATGAACTCCCCTACTGGAGGATTTTGAACATGACGCGCAGGCTTCAGCCTGGGGAACGTTACCCAACAGAAGGCTCATTTATTAAGCCGTACACCCCCTCAATAGACCTGTGAGTTCAATATTATCCTCACCCCCATTCTAGAGGGGAGGAGACTAAGGCTAAGCAGGAAACCATCGCCTCCCTCAGAATGGTTAGGGCTGCCCTTGTTTTCCAACGACTAGATCTTCCGAGCCTGAAGCCTGCAGTGCTGCAGGAGTTCTGGGCCCAGACTCCCCGTCAAGTGCTCCTGGGACACAACGTCCAGCCTAGTGTCCTAGGATTGGCCTAAGCCCCCGTTGGGCCCCCCTCCAATCTAGTCTACCCTGAAAAATTCTGTCCCTTCCCCATGGGTGTCATGGGGTGCAGCAGCTTCCTTCTCTTGGTGGTTCCTAGGGTTCCCGCCACAGGACATGGTGCAACCTGTGTTGGCAGGAGGGGAGGGGCCGGGACCCGGAAATGGGGTCTGGATCTCTCTGCCCAGGTTTGACTCCTGCCTGTGCTGGGTAGTTTCTGGCTATCCACTTGCTCTCTCTGAGCCTTAGTGGTCATATCTGTAAACTAGAATAGCCATGTACCTCTCAAGGTGGTTATGGGGAATCAGGACATCATGGGTGTGTCTAGACGGAACAGGCTGGGTTTGCAATGTTTCCTTAATAACCAGCCGCCTTCAGTCTTCCTGTCTGAAGGTCGAGGCCGACTTTCCTCTCCGTCACTCAGGCCTCCAAGTCCATGTTCGAAGGGCCACTGATTATGGGGGTCTGTATTAGGTCTCCCAAGGGCAGTGAGAGTCCAGCCCCCTGGGCAAGGTTGCCCTCCAGACCTTCCTGCCTGCCTGGCCCCAGAGCCTGAGGCTCCAGATGGCCTTGCACATGTCTCCTGTCCTCCAACGGGAGCTCTGTGTCCAAGGTCAGCTCAGGAGTGTCCCGAAGTAGCTGTGTCTTCTCCTTGAGATGCATGGGTGTGTCCAGGTCAGTTCCCTCACCTTTTTCCCAGGACATGTTCACCACCAAGGCCTCTTTTGGGGACACCTCCTCCGGGAAGTCTGCTGGGCTTGTCCACTGCCAAGCCTAGATAGGAAGGGTGGGTCCAAGGCTATGAGCAGGGCCCTATTTTCCTGGGATCAGGTTTCTACTGGCTTAATTCCCTAAAATCCTGAGACCAGAGGATTAGCTCTGCCTCAATGACCCCCCCCCATTCAGCCCCTTTTAGGAAGCCCTCCCCCCACACACACACACCATTTCTCTTTGGGAAATTATTCCTCCTCTTCTTGTTTTGATGTGGTTATGCACTGACCCCACCACAATTTGACTGATGGATATGTGACATGGCCCAGCCAATCAGAGCACTCTAGCCTCTGATTCCGGCAATGGGCTCAGGGATGAGCATGTGACCCACTCTAGGCCTATTGGTGATGGCCCTGGGACTTTTGCTAAAGTGAACTGAACACTCTTCTTCCACTGGGGAAAGGCTGAACCCGAGTGGGAAGGAAGCCTGCGAGCAGAACAGCAGTCCAGACAAATGGATACCCAGTCTCTGGATTCCTAGACCTAGCCATGCCTGAAGACCACCGTCTGGGGAATCCCCTCATCCCCCATCAGTTTCCCTTTTTGTTGAAGCCACTTTGAGTTATTTCTACTGCTAGGAAAGGACCCACAGGAGGTTTCTCTCTGGGCCTCTTCTTGCCTATCTGTGAAATCGGACAGGTTCTTGGAGTCCCTGTGTCCATGGTTAGGGGAGGATAAAACGAGTTAGTCCACGGCCATTACTCTGTAGAACCCTGGCCCAGAGTATAGACCCAAGAAATAGGACTTTAAATCAGAAAAGGAGTCCTTACCTGCTTTCCCTGGTTGCTAGGGAACTCGATCACAGTGCTGGCACAAGGCGTGGGCAGGGGCGGGCACAGGTAACGTGCAGCCCTGGGGACGGAAGGAAACTGGTCAGAGAAGCAGCATTTTCTGTTTTTACTTTTTAATTGTTTCCACTTACTCTTTTCATCTCCACTACATTACAAAGGGAGATTGGATGTGGATTGGGGCTGGGGGGTGTGGGATGCTGACAGACCTGGGTTCAAATCCCAGCTCTGCCCCCCTTGCTGGATACCTGGGCCCTGACTCTTCTGGGCCTCAGTTTCCTCATCTGTAAACTGGGCACAAATACTGACTTGGCATGAGCGATTACTATGACCACTATTGTCATTACGGATCATCTTGGGGGAGACATGCAAATTACCTGTTCAGGCAGAGGTACCCAAGGACGCCCAGGAGAAGGATGCTGACGAAGCTCCCCAGAGACACGAAGAGTATGGACAAATCGAACAACCGGGAAACCTGGGCTTCTGGGAGTGCGAGAGGTTGGGTTGGCAGAGGGGCACCTCCTGCCTCTTACTAGGAAGGGCGTTGGGAGGGCTGGACCCTCCATCAACTCACTGCTGACTGTGGCACACCATGGGTCCCTCTGTGCCTGGTTCCTCATGTGTGAAGCAGGGGACCAGGGAACCCACGTGCCCTGGGTCTGCGGGATAAGTCCTGGCATACAGGGCTCGGGACATGTTAGCTGCACATGCCTGCTTGTTGTGCCCCTGTGGTTGCTCCCCTGGGCCCAGATCTGCCACCCCATGCCAAGCCTGACTCACACTGGCTCTCTTGAGACCAAATTGCATTATAAGGGCAACAGGCAGAGACCATGGTAGGAACAGGGATCATTCGGTTTCCAAATCTCTTCCCGCCACACACCCCAAGACAATGGAGTCCACCTCCTTATCTTTGTGATAAGAGAGATACCCATTCTTTCACTCGCTCAACAAATGGCCCCCCCATCCTCTCTCACCCCACCGGAGCCCCCAGGCTGGACAGAGCCTGGCAGAGCCTGGACAGCCTCACCCACTCCCAAGGTGTCAGGCCAGGAAGGGAGGATTTTCACAGATTGGCGGGGGCTGGGGGGCGAGGCGCATGGGGTAGGCACCCTGGAGAAAGCATGGTTGGCTTCCTGGAGGAGGAAGCTTTTGAACTGGGTTTTAAGGATGAATAGGAGTTAGCAGGGAGAACAAACATCCCAGGCAGAGGAGCCTGCACGGGCAAGGCAATGAGAGCATGAAAGGGAGATTCACAAGGGGACACTGCACAAGGAGGGGAGAGCAGAGTGGGCTGGGAATTTCTCCTGTGGGTGCTACATGGGGAGCAGGGCCAGGGTGGGGCTGCTTGCAGAGGCTTGGGATGGGGCAGTGCATGCTGGGTACATACCCAGGCCCTGCCCTCCTGCTCACCGATGCTGAATGGCTGGGGCCGGCTCCAGACACCCTGCAGCGTCACTGTGTCTGCTCGAACCCGCACAGTGTAGGCTGTCCCAGCCCGAAGGCCATCAAGGGTGACCTGGGTCTCTGTGGCCTTCACAGGCAGCTCTGTGGGAGGGAGGCAGCCATGGGTTCCCAGACTCTCTTTACTGCCAGGAGGCCAGGCTCAGGAGTGGGATGCCCAGGTCCTGGGTGGGCAGCCGCATGCTGAGAGTGGTAGTGGGGACTCAGGGACATTTTGCTGAAAACACTATTTTAAAAAATAATTTAAGATTTTATTTTAGAGAGAGAGAGCATGAGAGGAAGGGGCAGAAGGAGAATCTCAAGCAGACTCCTCGCTGAGTGTGGAGCCTGACTCGGGGCTCGATCTCACGGCCCTGAGATCACGGCCTGAGCCAAAACCAAGAGAGGGATGCTTGGCCCCTGCTGAAAACTCTGAATGCACCCATTCACCCCAGCTTACTTGGGGGACTGTTCTTCCCTCCAAGATTTAGTGAATGATGCTATTTTTCTCAAATTCTGACCTCTGCTGGCTCCTTGCTCTCCCCCACCCCACCCCATCCTCCAAGCTCCTTCAAGATGCCAGGTTCAGGGCGCCTGGGTGGCTCAGTGGGTTAAAGCCTCTGCCTTCGGCTCAGGTCATGATCCCAGGGTCCTGGGATCGAGCCCCGCATCGGGCTCTCTGCTCAGCAGGGAGCCTGCTTCCTCCTCTCTCTCTGCCTGCCTCTCTGCCTACTTGTGATCTCTGTCTGTCAAATAAATAAATAAAATATTAAAAAAAAAAAAAGATGCCAGGTTCAGTCGCACCTCAGGGCCTTTGCACTGGCAGTCCCCACCCCCCCTTGCTCACCCTTTTCCCAGATAGCCCCATGGTTTCCTCCCTCTTCTCCTTCCCATCTTTAGGGTCAAGTTCAGCATTAACTTTGTCTATCTTGCTTCCTCAGTGTCCCTTGAACCTCAGCACACAGTAGGACCTCAGCACACGGTGTGGAATCAGTTGGCTTTCATTCACAAATAAAGCTCTCCATAAAAGTCCTTAAAACAAGAATACAGTTGTTGGCTCTTATCAAGAAGAAAAAAATTCCTAGAACCCTAAGTCTATATTCAAGAGGAATGTTCTTCCAAAGAAACTGGAGTGGGGGGGAATTGCTCAATTTGGTGAATGGGCATTTGGTGCATTCATCTTCAGCATTTTTGACTTTCAGCAAATCGGTAAAGGGGTGGCTTCCAGCTGTGCCACCAGAATGCGTCCCTGAACCCCACTTGGCCCCACTTACCCCCTCTAAACAGCGGGTGGTCAAGCAGATGACAGGATGCCTGTGTTTCTGATGCGAGAGCATCCCCCCAGTATCCCTCCCCCGCTCCCCGGCATTCATGCCTTGGCCTTGGCTGGTGCTGGGTGCTGGGTGAGAACGCGAAGACATGAAGCGGCCAGTCCTGCTGGCCTGGACTGTTGCTGTGGGAGGTGGGCGGGTGAGGCCACAGGAAAAGACTGCATGGGGGCCCCCCAGTGTGTGAAATGACAGGAAACTCCAGCGCTGGTGAGACTTACCATGTACAATCTGCTCTTTTTCCCTCCCAAGGGGCAGGAAGGAGCATCTGACTGAGCCCAAATCCAGGCTTGCTTAACCCTTGGGCAGGAGACCCTCTCCAAGCCTCAGTTTCCCCATCTGTGAAATGGACACGGTCATCCGGCTCCACAGCAGTCAAGTTGCTGATTTGCATTTGCATTTCCACACATGGAAGCTGTGCCCACTAGGCCCTCCTGGGGGTCCAGAAAGGGCAGTCTGGCCTCTTGGAGTCGAGCAACTCCTGTTTTATGAGTGGGAAAACCAAGGCCCAGAGAGGGCCGGTGAGATGCTCAGGGGCCCATAGCCAGGCAGACGTTGATCCCAGGCCCCTTCTTCCCCCAGCCGGGCCCGTGCTGCCCACGTACCAGAGACGAGGTTGCCCTCCTCATCCTCGCAGCGCACGACGTACTCCTTCAGGACACCTGGGCAAGCGCTCAGCGGGGACGGCGTCCAGTCCACGTTCACGGAGCCCTGGCTGAGCTTCCTCACCGACACGTGCTGTGGGCGTCCTGCCCCGGAGGCTGCAACCAGCCCGGCCACCGTGGTCAATTCCAAGAGCACCGGCTAAATGTTCCCTGCCTGCCCAGCCTGGCACTGTCCAGAGACCCAGGGAACCTTGGCAACAGAGTCAGGCGGGCCTGGGTTCGCATCCCGGCTCCACAACTCAGGCCCCATCGCTGCCCCTCTCTGAGACTCACTTTTCTTATCTATAAAATGGGGGCAGTGCCCTTCAGGCAGGGAAAGCAGAGTGGGGGGCATTCTTCAGGATCCCCTGAGACTTCTGCGCATCTGGCTTCTGGCCAAGGCTTGACCTGGAGTAAGTGACTCTAAGCGTTCGTTCCCCTCTCCTGACACCCAAGACCCCCACTAAGCCCCTCTGGAGAGACCACCCTGCAGGTGTGGGCTGCTCACCATTGCCCCCGAAGTGGTAGGTGGACAAGACCGTGGACCACGAGATGGGCTTCTCTGGGCGTGGAGAGGCGAAGATCGTGATGTGGTAACATACCTCCTCCTCCATTGCCCCAGATCCTCTGCTCCAGCTGTAGGTTGCTAGAAAGATTGGCGAAACCCAGGCCAGTAACGTAAATAGGTTGTACCGCTGCCTCTGCCCCTTTGCACTGGCTGTGCCGCCTGCCAGGAACTCCTAAAGCTCTCCTGCTCATACTTCAAAGCCCTTGTGCCAATGTCCCCTCTTCCAGGATCCCTTTCTTATTCCCACTGCCCGCAGCCCATCCCCCCACCTGCAGCCCAGCCTGGATGCCACGGCGCCAGGTGCATCTGGCTCCAGCTCTGTCTCCCCAGTCTAGAAACCTCAAGGGCCAGGTCTGAGGCTGAGGTTTCCGGGGTCCCTGGGCCAGGCTCCAGGTAGGAAGTGGGAGTGAGAGGCTGCCAGGGCTGGAAGGCTCCCCCTTTTTCTCCAGAGGTCTCATTAGTTTGCCACCAGCATCTTGGGAGCTGTCACCTTCTCTGGCACAGGGACCTGTTTAACAAACACCCTGGAATGTGAGACTCATTACCTATTGGTGTGCGATCTGCCCGGGGCTATGGCCCTGACACTTCAGGGTCCTGGCAGGAGGCTTCAGACATGCATGGGCGGCAGGGTCCCAGTCTCAGCCCGTCCCCACCTCTGTGTGACCCTGGGCAAGTAGCAAGACCTCTCTGGGCCTCAGACACCTCACACGCCCCTAGCCTGGAGCCAACCAGGAGCTCTAAGGGAGGAGGCAGAAGCAGAAGCAGAAGCAGAAGCAGAAGCCGGGCGACAGACATGACGGTACCCATTCCTGTAGGGTCCTGGTCCTGGGATGGAGTCAGGGTGCAGTTGGTGAGGTTCCTGTCCTGGTCTTGGGCCTGCCACTCAATGCAATACGTCTTGGCCCTGGCCTGGGCTGGCCAGTGCATGGAGGTCCCATCGGCTCCGACACTGATATTCAGAGCCCCCATTTCTGGAAGGAGATGAGGGAGGCAGGTTAGGCTAACAATGGTGATTTGAATGAGTTAGGTCTCCTGGTCTGACCGTGAGTCCCCTGCCAAGACGCCCACCATCAGGGCTGCCTGTGCTGCTATCCCCACCCCCACCCTCCACCCTCCCCCAACTGGCTTGGGGAGCATCTCCTGCTCTAGCAGGTGTCTGCAGGGTGGGCCTCCCAGCTGGACAGGAGCTCAGAGGCCTGAGGACACACCCACTCAGTCCCCAGGGCTCCTCCCTTTCTGGGCAACAACCTCAGGGAGGCAGGCACTGCTTCCAATTCCAGGGACAACAACTACCATTTACTGAGCACCAACCATATGTACCAGGCCAGTGCTGAGCACTTCACAGGTGTCATTCTGCTACAAAGTGAGAAGGTGATCACCCCAATAATACAGAAACTGAGGCTCAGAGAGGGAGAGCCACTGGCACAAGTTCACACAGTGGGGCCATGACCCGAACCAGGCCAGGAGCTGACGGACTCATGGCTGTGCCATCTTGGCATGTGGCTTTACCTCTCTGAGCCTCAGAGGTCTCATCTCTGAAATGGGCACGCCCGTACCAGCCCTGTCCTCACAGGATTGCTGAGTACTCAGCAGGGACAGGACCAGGGTGAGATGAGTGAGGCACATATCAGGCACAAAGCTAGAGGCACCAAAGAACTCTGTCGTCAAGACAAACACTGTTCCAATGCCATTTTTTTTTTAAGAACCAAAAAATGAGTGGAGGGGTGCCTGGGTAGCTCAGTGGGTTAAAGCCTCTACCTTCAGCTCAGGTCATGATCTCAGGGTCCTGGGATCAAGCCCCACATCGGGCTCTCTGCTCAGCAGGGAACCTGCTCCCCCCACCCCCACCACCTGCCTCTCTATTTGTGATCTGTCTGTCAAATAAATAAATAATATCTTTTAGAAAATGGGTGGAAAAATATGCCATGAGCGCTCTTTGTGATGGCCCAAAGGTGGAAACAGCCCAAACGTTCATTAACAGATAAACAGATAAACACCACGTGGTTCAGCCACACAGTGGAATATTACTCAGCCACGAAAAGGAGGGGAAGCCCTGATACACTCTACGACGTGGGGGAACCTCAAAAAACATGACACTCGGTGAGAGAAGCCAATCATGAGAAGCCACAGAGTGTGCAGTCCCATGTATAAGGAATGTCCAAAATGGGCAGACCCAGAGAGACAGAAAGATTAGTGGGTGTCAGGGGCCGGGGATAAGAGGCGTGGGGTCTCCTTTTAGGGATGATAGAAACGTTCCAGAACTAGACAGAGGTGACGGTTGCCCGTCGCTGCAAACGTCCGAAACACCTCTGAATCCTACCTACCAAACTGGTTCATGCTGAGGTGTGACCTTCACCTCAATAACTTATGTAGACGTATTCACGTGCATGTATACATAAATATAAATCTTGATTTTTTTCCCTCTCATATCTATAAATATAAGGACACCTTTAATCACGACGATACCTATACAGAACGAGCAAATATCAAGATTTGAAATGAAGATAGGATCGGCCGCATATTCGCGTTGTCCTGCCTCACTCACCACACCCTGATCTCCGCCCTGGTCCCAGGAAACTTCATTTACAAATGGTTGGCCTGGGCTGTAGTTTGCCAGCTAGAGTCTGGTAAAATATCGCATTCTAACAATATGTTACCTTAATTAGTGATTTTGACACATTCCTGAATGAGACACCTGCTTGATTTTTGTGCCTCACCTGTCTCACCCTAGTCTGGTAGAGGCTCAGAGGAGGCGTTTAGCTCTGAGAGGCCCTCCCACAGCCCTCCCCGGCTGGACGAGGCACCTGTGTGGGTGTGGGTTTGGGCAGGAATGTGCCATGTCTGGTTGGGGCCGGGGCCGAAGCGATTCTGAGAGATGACAGCCAGGTCATAGGCCGCACCAGAGAGGTCGAGCGGTTTCTTCAGCTGAAAGTTCATTGTCGACTTGATCTTACACGTGCAGGATAGCATGTGCAGGCGGGCGCGGTAGGTCACCTCCCCGCCAGAGTTGGATCCGAGGCAGCCTTCTGGAAGCTCAACTTGGGGCAGCTGTCGTGAATGTGAGAGATGGTTTGTGGAGCCCTGAACCCCGTCATCATCCCCACGGGCCAACATCGGCATGCAGCCCCTGAACAGACTCACCCACGGGCCACAGTCTGTGACATGAGCCAAAAACTTTTTAAAAACAAACGAGCAAAAAAACAAAGCAAAGCAAAACAAAACAAAAAACCCTCGGTGCTGGTGAGGCTGTTGGGAAATAGGCATTTGTGGCCAGTGCCTGTTGGTTTGGGAGGGAAATAATTTGGCAAAACCTACTGAGTGTCAGGAAAAAAATGTTTTTCCTATCTTTGGACCCAGTTACCTCAAGCCTGGAAGTGTTTCCTAAGAAAGGGAATTCAGGGGTGCCTGGGTGGCGGCTCAGCAGCTTAAGCTTCTGCCTTCGGCTCAGGTCATGATCTCAGGGTCCTGGGATTGAGCCCTGCATCAGGCTCTCTGCTCAGCGGGGAGCCTGCTTCCCCCTCTCTCCCTCTGCCTGCCTCTCTGCCTACTTGTGATCTCTGTTAAATAAATAAATAAAATCTTTTTTTCTTTTAAAGGAATTCAAATGAAAGGAATGCCAGGAAGTAAAGCTTCACTGTAGGCGTACTGGGCCAGCCTATTAGGGACCCGGCCAATTAATTATGGTAAAGCCAGTGGGTGAAATATCTGATGGTTTTGCCCCTGACTTGGGCAAGAGATTTTCCCTCTGTGCTTCAGTTTCCTTCTCATAACTTGGGAGTTAATTAGACTGCTCTTAATGTATTGCTCAGGAGACTTCAAAGAAATCATCTCCCACCTAGACCAATATTGTCCACCCTTGGCCTGACCACTTCCATCCTAGCCCCCCACACTCTGTTCCCCCCATGGGAGCTGGGGGAAGTCTGCGAACACTGAACCCAGTCATATCCCTCTTCTGCTCACACACCCTCCATTGCTCCCCATTACCTGCAGAGTTAAACGCAAAGTCCTCGGAATCCTTGCCCCCTCCACATCTCTTCTCTCACAGTATCCCCCTTGTGCACCCTGACTCCAGCCTCTTGTCTCCTTCTCCCCATCCCAGGCCACCCCACAGCCCCATGACAGCCCATTACCTGCCCGTGCAGGGTCACCTGCCTCCTCCCATTGGGGCGGAGCGCCTCCATCGAGAACTTCAAGGTGGGCTGTGGGAGATGTTCTGTAATGGGATGGCGAGACAGTGACGCTGGGGGTGGTCCCTTGCTCACCGCCACTTCCCACAGACCATGCATGGGGACCCAGGACATTTTCCTTCCCTCCCTTGAAACACAGGATTCCCATGGGTTGTTAAGAAGTTTTCAAAATCAGAAACATGAAGATCTAGTCTATGACAATGTGACTATACTTAATGCCATAAAACTATCCACTTTGGGGGCTCCGGGGGTGGCATTGGACTCTTGATTTCAGCTCAGGTCACAGTCTTGGGGTCATGGGATTAGGCTCCGGGCTTGATGGGGAGTCTGCTTGGAATTCTCTCTCCCTCTGTCCCTCCCCCTGCCATGCACATGCTCTCTCTCTTTCGAATAAATAAATACGGTCCTAAAAAAAAAAAAAAAAAAAAAAAACCCTATGCTTTAAAATGGTTAAAATGGTAGATCTTATCTAATGCATTTTCTACTACAATTTTCGTTTTAAAGTCTGAAAAGACTTCTTGGAGCTGTTTCGCAGTGGATAATGCACTAGGGGCAGGAAGAGACCTGCCAAGGTCACAAGGTCAGGGGCAAAATGTTGACAATCACCTCATCCTTCCTTGCCTCTCGGGTCCCATCTCCACTTTGGAGCTGCCCAAACTCCAGCTTCCTGTGTCCCTTTGGGAAGCTATGTCTTCACGACACGGCCATTTCCCCCTGCCTACTCCCTGCGTGGCTTTAAAGAACAAAGCCAACAGGACACATGGGAAGGAAAGACAGACTGGGAAATGTTTCTTTTCAGATTATGGATTCTCCACATTTTACAAAGTGAAACTCGCTCCACCTCTTTTTTTTTTTTTTAAAGATTTTATTTATTGTTTTGTGAGAGAGAGCACGCATGAGTGAGGGTGGGGGAGGGGGGATGGAGGGGCCAAGGGAGATGGACAGAAGCAGACTCCCCGCTGAGCAGGGAGCCCAAGGCCAGGCTCAGTCCCAGGACCCTGGGATCATGACCTGAGCTGAAGGCAGAAGCTTAGCCCACTGAGCCACCCAGGTCCCCTGCCCTAGCACCTTTTACTAATTTCCCCAAATTTCTCTTGCCGCCTTATTTCTAGTACCCACTGCTGTATTTCTAATGCCTGCCCCGGTTCCAGTGGCTGTGGAGTGCTCTCACCAGGGGGGATACACACGGGGCTGCTCCAGCTGCTCCAGGGGTCTCCTGGGTCTCCTGGGGCTGCTGGCCTGAGTCGCCGCCTGCGGAGCTGGAATTCCTGGGCTGCGTCCGTCCGCAGGGGGCAGAGGCAGGACTCTGACAGGGAAATAGGCCGAACTTCAAGCTGAAGAGCTGTCTCACACCTGGGGGTGCCCGGGGCTTGGCACTCATCATTTAGCCCCCAGACACTTAATTGAGTGCCAACTGTGTGCTGGGCCCTGGGATCACTGTGGGAATAGGCCAGGCCCTGTCCTCTTGGGGACCTCAAGGTGCCCCATTCTTGCCCTGACCCGAGGTCGGAGTCCTGGCAAGGCCATCCATTGGGATGCGAGCCTGGTCAATGGCTTCTCACCCCCAAGCCAGTTTCCTCACCTGAGAAATGGGAATAATCCGATACGGAACTAAGGATGGGCCAGAAAGCTTACAACGAAATTAGCACTGGGCCTGGCACACAGCAGGCGCTCAATTAATGCTAACACACTGCAGCTGTTGTTGGTACTATTATTCTCACCGAAGCCAGCATCCTCCTGAGGTCCGCAGTTGCCCTAGGACCAGATCATATATACATAGTTTTACCTTTTGGTAAAAGGTAAAAAAAAAAAGGTTTTTTTTGAAAGAAATATTAGCTCTTTTATAATTTTAAACAATTATTCTAAGTGCAATGTGGAAGCTTGGGTTAGAAACAGAAAGAAAGAGGAACAGAAAGAGGACATTTGTTTTTTGTTTTGGTTTGGTTTTTAAAGATTATTTATTTATTTATTTGACAGATAGAGAGAGAGATCGCAAGTAGGCAGAGAAGCACACAGATAGAGAGGGAGAAGCAGACTCCCCACTGAGCAGAGAGCCTGATGAGGGGCTCGATCTCAGGACCCTGAGACTATGACCTGAGCCAAAGGCAGAAGCTTAACCCACTGAGCCACGTAGGCGCTTTAAAAAAAAAAGAAAAAAAAAAAGAAAAAAAAAAAAAGAGGACTTTCGTGGAAAAACAGGTAGCTCAGAATAAGCCCAGGGATTTAGTCCCCAGCAACGTGGCAACGTTTATCTCGGTTGTGGACAGACACGCTCAAGAATGTAAGAAGTTCGCATGTGGAGCAGCTGGGGGGCCTTTCTAGGGGAGCTGGCTACTTCTTTGTAACTTTTCTGAAAATCTAAGATTATTCCCAAAGTAAAAGTTGGCTTAAAAGATTTTCAGAGGTTGGGGGCACCTGGGTGGTTCAGTGGGTTAAAGCCTCTGCCTTCTGCTCAGGTCATGATCTCAGGATCCTGGAATTGAGCCCCGCGTCGGGCTCTCTGCTCGGCGGGGAGCCTGCTTCCCTTCCCCTCTCTCTGCCTGCCTCTCTGCTTACCTGTGATCTCTGTCTGTCAAATAAATAAATAAAATCTTTAAGAAAAAATATTTTCAGAGACAAAATTATTATTCTGTACTTTCCTACAAAAATTGTTTTAGGAGGGAAAACCTGTATGTCAGTGGTGTTGGGGGTCAGGAGAGTCAGGTGTAGGACACGGCCTGCCCCCCACACCCTGTGTCATGCGGAGAGGTCCCCCAACATCCGGAGCTTCAAATCAAACGAACAGAGAGGCCCCTCTCCCAGCAGGAGTCCCATATCACCTGCCTCTGACAGATCGCATTCACCGGATGGGGTCACTGAGGCTCAGGGGGCCCCAACATTGGAAAGGGAGATGGGGCTGAAGCTGGGGCTGCTCCCTGGCCTGAAAATGCCGCCAGTCTGAGGGAGGAGGAGATGCCACGATTCAGAGGCTGGAGGTCTCTGTCTCTCCCCATCTAGGGGCTTCTTGGGCCCGAAGCAAGGGCTGAGGTTCCTTGCAGACCCAGCTTGCTCTGCATGGAGGCAACAGAAGGGACAGCAGAAGGTAGCTGAAGAATGAACGAAGGTCTGCGGAAGACATACAGACAGCCAACAGGTAGAAAGACCAGGCTCGACATCACTCATCATCAGGGAAGTGCAAATCAAAACCATAATGAGATACCACCTCAGTCCGAATGACTATCATCAAGAAGACACAAGACAGGGGTGCCTGGGTAGCTCAGTCAGTTAAGTATCTGCCTTCATGATCCCAGGATCCTGGGATCGAGCCCCACATCGGGCTCCCTGCTCGGCGGGAAGCCTGCTTCTCCCTCTCCAATTCTCCCTGCTTGTGTTCCACATACCCCCCAACAAACAAATAAATAAATAAATAGTCTTTAAAAAAATGTTTATTGCAGCCTCACGTACAATAGCCAAGATACGGAAGCAACCAAAGTGTCCGTTCATTGGCGGATGAATGGAAAAAGAACATGGGGTACACACACACACACACACACACACACACACACACACACAGGGATATTATTCAGCTGTAAAAGAAGGACACCCTGACATGTGTGACGATGTGGACAAGCCTCGAGGGCACTATACTAAGTGAAATAATTCAGAGAAGGACAAATACCATAGGATCTCTCTTGCACACATGGAATCCAAAGCAAAATAAAATGGAACTCATGGACACGGAGAACAGATCGGTGGTCACCAGAGGCAGGGGGTTGGGGGGTGGGAGGAATGGGGGTCAAAAGGTACACACTTCAGTTATAGAATAAATAAGTCCTAGGATGTCATGTACTGCATGGTGACTATAGTTCGTAATACTGTATGATGTACTTGGACGTGCCTAGGAGAGTAGATCTTACAAGTTCTTACAAGACATAAAGTTTGTATCGCAGGTGGTAATGGACAGTAGCTAGACTGACTGTGATCATTTCACAATACATACAAATATCAAATAATGATGTTGTACACCTACAGCCAACATAATGTTATATGTCAATTGTATCTCAAAAAAAAACAAAAACAAAAACAAAAACAAAACCAGAAGAAGAAAAAGGAAGGGAGGAAGGAAAGAAAGAAGGAAAGAGGGGAGTGGAAGGGGAGCTTCCTAGAGAGGCTGCCCTTGAACTAGACCCTGAAGATCAACTGGATTTTCAGCCACTCATAGAGAAGAAGGTGTGAAGATGGAGGAAACTGCATGGGCAAAGGTAGAGTTTGGAAATTCAGGGCATGGGCATAGAATGATGGCCATTCAGAGGGGGCCAGAGGAAACATGAGGTGGGTGAGGGTGCCCGGGGCCAGCTGAGGAAAGGATGCTCTCCTGAGGGTAATAGGGAGCTATGGAGGGTGTGTGAGCAAGGGAGGTTCCGATGAGATCTGAGAGTCAAAGAGACTCCAGAGGCTAGCTGCAGGGCAAGAGAGGAGACCAGGCAAGAGGGGTGATGGATGTAGAGATGGTGAAACTGCTTTGGGGGTCATGTTCCCCGGGGAGAAGCCTGTGTTCTCTCCTGACCTGGGGAATAAACTCACCAACTCCCACAGGCTGCTGGATGTCCGGTGCCGGAACTGCACCTCGGCGCCGTCCTGGCGGGCTGGGTTCTCCCACTTCAAGAGCACCTGCCCCAAGGACCTAGACACAGTGATGTCTCCAACCAGCGGAGGGTCGTATTTAACTGGGAACAGAGGTGGAGATTGGGGAGGGGAGCCGGCATATGTGTAAGTTATTGGTACTTAAAATTTTGGTAAATCTGCCCCACCCAGCCCAGGGTAACTGACTGAGTCCCCAGGATGTGCATCAGGGAAACCCTTACAAGTTCCGTCTAAGCCTGGGATTCTATGGCTCAAAGATTCAAGACTGACACTCCTTGTAGCAACATTGTGGTGAGATGGGCACTTTTGTGAGTTGCTGATAAGAGGATAATTAATTGAATCCATTTTTTAGAAGACTATTAGGGAAATCTTACTAATTTTTTTAAACCCTGACTTGAAGAGAAGCATCCATCATTCTTTCTGCATCTTGGTCATACCATGTCTGATTCTACCTCAGGACCCTTTCACTTGCTGTGCCCTTATGCCCTCTGCCTGGAACACACTTCTCTACCCCTGATTCTTGTTGGATCCTTTTTATCCTTCCGGGCTCAGCTTGACCTCCCAGCAGCATTTCCTCATATATAATAGTCCTTCCTGTTCATCACTTCCTCTTGACTCTGGCCTCCATGAGGGACGGTCGGATCCTGCCTTCATCTTAAAATTTGATACATTGCTCATCATGGATTTTTTGGCATTAATTTTGATTTTTCAAAAAACATCTCTTTACAAAATTATTTATATTGACTCCTGAGTTTTCTGGCATCCCTTACAATTTCGTGCCCAAGGCAGGTTCCTTCCTCACTTTACCCTAATGCCAGCCCGGAGCAGCCAACTTTGTTGGCCTCACTCATGTCCCCTATGACTCAGCATAGCACACAGAAGCATCTCAAACACTAGGTGTTAAATGTCCGTGGTTGCGTCTTGAAAACAGATTTTAAAGACCCAATGAGGTCCCAGTGGTATTACAGTTTCGGGGAGAAACCAGAAGCAACCTAAGTGCCTAGCAGATGGGGATTGGTGAGGGGACCGTGAAGAACTCTACCATGTCCCGCAACAGGGTTTGATGTGAAAATCATTGGCATTATCAAGCCCCTGGCCCAAATCCCTGCGGGTCTAGGCTCAGGGACCCGAGGCATCTCTGCGTGAGGAAGGGGCGAGGAGGAGGAGGAGGAGAACAGGTGCTGACCTGCACTATGAAGCTTCAGGGTGATCTTAGGGGACTTCTGTGTCCGGTTCTCAGCTCGAGATTCCACCCAGAGCGTGACGGCCTGGAGCACAGCTACACCGTCCTGGTCAGAGAACCGCAGGCTGGTGGCTGAGCCCGCGGCAAAGTAGCAGCACCGCCCGGACCTGAGGCTGCGTGAGCGGAGCACTGGGGCTGAGTTTGGGGTTGCAGGACCCGCAGGGGGGCTCAGCAGCCCCGGTAGATGGGCCGCGTCACATCCTAGGATCTTCTTTTTTTTTTTTTTAAGATTTTATTTATTTATTTGACAGACAGAGATCACAAGTAGGCAGAGAAGCAGGCAGAGAGAGAGGAGGAAGCAGGCTCCCCGCCGAGCAGAGAGCCCGGTGTGGGGCTCGATCCCAGGACCCTGGGACCATGACCTGAGCAGAAGGCAGAGGCTCTAACCCACTGAGCCACCTAGGTGCCCCATCCCAGGATCTTCTTCTGCCCCTTTGACTCCCCCTCCCCAGCCTGGGGACTCTAGGGGGATCAGCCTGCAACTGAGGGTTTGGGGGAACCCCAGAATCTCACGATGCAGATGAAGAAATGAATGGTTGGAAGGATGGACAAATTAGTGAGCGGATGAGGAGGAAGGAAGGATGAGAGGGACCCTAACTGCCACCCAACTTAGATGCCCACCTACGCTGACATGCCCCCCCCCCACATAGAGTCCCCACCCTCCCTTCTCCCATAAGACACTGAGCCACCAGGAAGGGCAAGGACCTTGCTAAGATCACACCTCTGAGAGCAGAGGCATGGGGCAGGAGCAAGTGTGGGATGATGGGTGAAGGTTTGGGGACCGGGGCAGGGTCCTTACCAGCACCTCAGGAAGTGGCTGACCCCAGCCATGGGGCCCTCATACTGCCAGGAGCATTCATAACCAGCACTGACTATCCGGTAGCAGTTCAGGTCCCTGGGGCCTGAAGCCGAGCCTGGAGGAGATCCCAAAGGTTTTAGAAGGGACCAAGAGCTGGGAGGGGGCCCTCCTTGCTGGTGCACACTTGGGATGAATCTTTGTGACATTTAAGTAATCCAGTGTCAATTTCAGCCTTGGCGAACTCCCAGAACCCTCCCTGTGCCCTTCCCTCCTGTCTCCTGCCTTCTCCCCTGCTCACCCTCCTCCAGCCACACCAGCCTCCTCACCAGTCCTCAAGCAGGCTCACTCCCACCTCAGGGCCTTTGCGCATGCTGTGCCATCTGCCTGGAATGCTTTTCCCACAGATCTTGACATTCTAGTTTCTCCTTCAGCGTCACCTCCTTGACCACCAGCCAACCTGAAGCCGCCCCCTCCTCCATCCTCCCTCCCCTTCCTCTGGTTTCTCATAGCACATTCTGGCATGCCGTCTGTGCATTTGTTTGCCTGTTATCCACCTCCCACACTAGGCTGTGGCCCCAGGAAGTCAGTCGGGCTTGTGGCTGATTCTTTCACGCCTAGAACTGGGTCTGCATGCAGTGGGAGCTTGGTAAATAGTTCTTGCACGAAAGGAAGGACGAAACAGCTGTTTGGTGGCAGACCCTGGGACACTGGAGCTTGGTGAGGACAGGAGAGTAGGCTATCAGGCTGCTCCCAAGACCTCAGGTGCACCTGAATCTTTGGCTGGGTGGGAGGGAGCTGAGGGAGGAGCGGCTAGGAAAGGGACAGTCAGACCCCAGCATGACCTCTCTCCACAATAAGGAACTGTCCCAGACCTGCGCCTGCATCCGGATACGGCGGGTCCTGAAAACAGCACCCACTGGTACTGCAGGCTTCAGCTGCAAAGACAACGAAGAGAGAATGACGTTTCCAGTCTTTTACTGCATGGCGGAGGCGCTCGGGCAGCGGTCTTGCCAAGAGACCATCCATCCACTCACCCACTCTCCCACCTATGGATCCACCTACCCATCCATCCACACATCCTATCTTCCACCCAGCCACCCATCAGGCATGCACGCATTCATCTGTCCTACGCTCCATCTATCCATCCATCTAACCATCCATCCATCCATCCATCCATCCAACCATCCATCCATCCACCGCTCATTCATCCACTCAACAACCTCTGAGGCTGCTCTTCCAAGGCAAGCTGGGGTATCCTGTCCTCCTCTCAGTCTCTGGTCTCCAGCCCTGCCTGATCCCTGCAGGCCCTGAAACCTTGCTGAGTCTCAGTTTACAGAGACACACAGAGAGGCAAAGTAGTGGCTTGAGGTCACACAGCAGCAACAGCAGAGCTGGAATTAGATTTCAAACCCAGTCATCTGCAGGGGTCTGGGCTCCTTCCCATCCGATCCCATGAGATGGAGAGATAGTATGTACATATATTTTGTCTAATAATATAATAAAACTATAAACATGTATATCCATTATATACACACTTGTTCCTTATCCTTTTCTTTTTCTTTTTTTCTTAAAGATTTTATTTATTTATTTGAGAGAGTGAGCAAGAGAAAACACAATCAGGGGGAGGGGCAGAGGGAGAAGCAGGCTTCCCACTGAGCAAGGAGCCTGATGTGGGACTTGATTCCAGGACCCTGGGATCATGACCTGAACTGAAGGCAGACACTCAACCGACTGAGCAACCCAGGCGTCCCGCTTTTTCTTTTTTTAAAGATTTTATTTATTTTACAGAAAGAGAAAGCACAAGCAGGCAGAACGGCAGGCAAAGGGAGAGGGAGAAGCAGGCTCCCCGCCAACACAGGGCTCCATCCCGGGACCCTGGGATCATGACCTGAGCAGTGCCCAACCGACTGAGCGACTCAGGTGCCTCTCCTTATCGTTTTTGGATTTTAGCATTTCTCACAGAACCCCAGGGACTGGGAAAGATTCAGAGATTTAGCCCATTCCACAGAAGACGATGTCAAGACCAGAGCAGAGATGCCCAAGTTTGACAGAGGGAAAGACTGAGGCCCAGAGACACAGAAGCCAGGTCCACCACCCTACATGCACATGCCCCGCAGCAAGAAAAGCCATGATGTCAAGGTGGGGAACTCACCGCCTTGCCCTCGGAGCAGGAGCAGAAGGAGGGGGACCAGCCTGGCCCACAGCTGTCCCATGGAGCCCACGCAGAAGCTCACAGCCCCAGATGAACTTCTGCCAGCCACCCTGTCCTTGCCCCTGAACATGTTGAAGCTGAGTAAGAAGGAGGACTTAAAAGATCAAAAAAAAAAAAAAAAAAAAAAAAAAAAGAAGTTAGATGTCATGGCCCCTCCTGGCACAAGTCAAACTGAAAGAGAAACTAAGAAGTCAGCGTGGTGGTGGCGGCCTCATCCCGGCCACAAACCCACCTGGAGTCACGGATCTGGGGGTCTACACTGCTGGCCCAAGCCTTAGTTGGACACAAGGTGCCAACCCCTTGAGTGGCCAGCTGCTCTGAGCCCTTGCCCTGGTTTCCGGCCCTCTCTAGCTGACCTCTGAGACTCAGGTGCCGAACGGGAGCCCAGTGTTCTCGGATGTCTGTGTTCACTCTCCCAACAAACCGTTATGAAGTGTTTGCTCTACGCTGCCCCCTCCCCACACGTCCACCTCTCCATTTCCCAAACTCTACCCCAAGGCACCCTGGGTCCCGGCTCCTGAAGAGCCCTTTGCTTCCTTCAGACTAAGCTTTGTCCCCTCTCTGCGTCTGTTTCTTGGCATCGGGGGCGGGTGGGTCTCAGTCTCTGAGCCTTTCTCCTCACTGTCTACAAAGTCCCAAAATGTCCATGGAGAAGGACAGACTCATGCTAAAAAGTGGATGAACCCCAAAAAAGTCCTGCTGAGTGAGAACAGCCAGACACAGCAGCCCACATGTTGTATGGTCCCCATGTACGGGAAATGTCCAGAACCAGCAAATTCAAAGAGACAGAAAGATGAGTGGTTGCCAGGGGCTGGGAGATGGGGTTTGGGGAGTGACTGCTAATGGGGATGAGTGTCCGTTTGGGGTGATGAGAATGTTCTGGAACTGGACAGAGGAGATGGTTGCAGAACACTGAGAAAGTTCTAAATGTCACTGAATTGTAGATTTTAAAATGGTTTATTTTAGGTTATGTGATTTTCACCTTAAAGAAAAATGTTCCTGGAGCACAGGGGGACTGAGGAGCACGGTGGGAGTCTCTCCCGGAAGAGCATCTGAGGACCGGGACCCAGGTGGGCTGGGAGGAAGCCCAGTCTCAGAGGCTCCCTGTCCCTGCGGGCAGCTGAGCTAGTCAGGGTCAGGCGCCCAGGAGGCCATGAGGTCAGAGACATGGGAACAAAGAGGCAGTGTCCCAGGCCTGGCACAGTGGGGACGGGGACCCCGTGACCCTGCACAGAGCAGCCTTCACTGGCAATAGGGCCCAGGCCAGGCCAGGGGGTGGAGTGGGCTGCAGGATGGATGTGTGAGGCCGGGGGGAGGGGTAGAGACAGAGAGAGACAGAGACAGAGAAAGAGACAGAGACAGATTGGTAGAAACATAAAGAAAGATGGAAGAGACAGAGATGGGGCCAAATCCTTGGTCTCCTCTCGAAGATCCTGACACCCCTACCCCAGGAGACACCATCTCTGTGTCCCATTTCACAGATGGAGAGACTGAGCCCTGAGGTGCCCAGACCCCTCGAGTCCCCAGCTGCACATGAAGAGATGGATTCAGACAGAGGCTCCCCCTTTCCCCTCAGCAAGGGTGAGCTTTACATCTTCGGGAACAAGCCTCATGCCCCAGGGCTGGCCCCCCCCCCCCCAAGGCTGACCCGTCCAGGCTTCAGCTACACCATCTGCAAAATAGACTGTTGTGAAACGCTAAAGGAGGGCCGGGCTCCCGGCGGGTAATGCCCACCAGACAGCCGGCATAATGAATCGTTCTTTGGGGGGCCCCCAGCAACCTCTGCTCTTGTTGCAGCTCTTTCCCAGCCCCCCAAAGTCACCGGACTTTCCAGAGCAGCCCCTGGAAGACATTGAGGGAGGGAGAGGAGCAGAGGAAGGGACAGAGCTGGACACAGGTGCCCACAGCTCCTTGGCGGCAGGGGTGGGTGCAGGGAGTGGCAGAGGCTGGGGCATGTCCCAAGGGAGAGTCGGGAGAGATGCCCAGAGAAGGGGGCTCTTGAACTCGGTTTATAGAAAAAGCATTCCTGGCAGAGGGCACAGCAGAAGCCAAGTTCAGTGACATGCTTTGGGGAATATCAAAATGAACATGGCAATCTGTGGCTCCACAGGAGAGATGCAGGTGGTAAGGCAGATGAGGACCTCAAGTGCCAGGCTGAAGGGCTGGACTTTCTTCTAAGGGGACTGGGGAGCCATAGCAGGTGTGTGAGCACAACACCAGCCACAGGTGAGGTGGTGTTTCTACCCTTATCGAAGTCAGGATCTGAAGCTTGCCCCAAGGTTCACTGCACTTCACCTTCCCCGTGCCAAATCTGCACACCCACCTCCCCTGGTCTGCTTGCCCCCTCCGCCAGGAAGCCCTCAGGATGCCCTTATGGGTCCCTCCCTGCTGCCCCAGAAATACAGCCAGGATATGCTTCTAGGGCTGCCCCACTTTCAGATACCTCCTCGCTAGCTGCGGGGAGGGTGAGGCAGGAAGGACTGGGTTAAAAGGGGCCCGGGAAATGGAAATCGTGATGGGAGGGACCACAGAATTTCCCCACCCCCTCGATTTCCGTTTTCTTCCAGGGTGAGTGACATGCAGCCCAAGGAGGGCTGAGCTTCTTTCCATGTGGCCACGAGACCCTAATGCCTCCAGAGGGCATCTAAGGAGAATGCTGAAGGATAAATAGGAGTTTGCAAGGAGAAAATCTTAGTTTACAAACACATTTGTGGTTTCTCATTCACCAATAAGATTAGTTTTCATTCATTCAACCAGAACTTTCTGATGCCTCCAGGGATCATTTAAGGATGTTTTAAAGAATACCCAAAGGGGTGCGCCTGGGTGGCTCAGTCGTTAACCATCTGCCTTCGACTCAGGTCGTGATCCCAGAGTCCTGGGATCGAGCCCAGCATTGAGCCCCCCACCAAGCCTTCCATCAAGCCCCCTATCAACTTCTCTGCTCAGCAAAGAGCCTGCTTCTCCCTCTCCCTCTGCCTGCTGCTCCCTCTACGTGTGCTTGCTTGCTCTCTGTCAAATGAATAAATAAAATCTTTAACAAGGAAGAAAAAAAGAAGGCGTGTCTGGGTGGCTCAGTTGGTTGAGCATCTGACTCCTGATTTCAGCTCAGTATAGTAATCTTGGGGTCGTGGGATCAAGCCCTGCATACAGCTCTGCCCTGGGCACGGAGACTTCTTGTCCCTCTCCCTCTGCTCCTCCCACTGCTCTCTTTCTTTCTTTCTCTCTCTCTCTCAGATAAATAAATAAATAAATAAAATCTGGGTGGCTCAGTCGTTAAGCGTCTGCCTTCAGCTCAGGTCATGATACCAGGGTCCTGGGATTGAGCCCTTCATCGGGCTCTCTGCTCAGCAGGAAGCCTGCTTCTCTCTCTCCCACTCGCCCTGCTTGTGTTTCCTCTCTCACTGTGTCTCTCACTGTCAGATAAATAAAATCTTAAAAAAAAAAACCACAGAAGGTTATCAAGAAAATAAACTCTCGTGTTCATTCAACAATCACACTCCCCGATGCCCTCTAGAGACATATGAAGAGGGTTTTGATGGATGTGTAGAAGTTCACAGGAAAAAATTTATTCATTCAATAAGTGTTCTCTGATGCTTCTCAAAGAAAACTTGAAGTGGGTTTTGAAGGATGCATAGGTGTTCACCATGGGAAAATTTCACTCATTGATTCATGCGTTCAGTCAGTCAGTGAGTCAGATGTCCCTTGTAGCCCATTGAAGGGACATCTTGGAAGTTCTTATGTAAGTTCTTGTCATCTTGGAAGTTCTATGTATTCTCCAGATGGAGCAGGGGCATTTGATACAGCCCTGATGGCCCCTCCAGCAGGTCCCAATTTACCTGGTCCAACCACCTCTGGTTCAGGGATCCTGTCTTTCTCCGGGATTCCAGACCAAGTCCCCAAGGAAGACTGACTGGCTGAGCTTGAGTTACCTTTCTTCCATGAGCTAAGCACAGTGGCTGAAGTGGGTGATCTCTAGGGGCGCCTGGGTGGCTCAATCGGTTAAGCGTCTGCCTTCAGCTCAGGTCATGATCCCAGGGTCCTGGGATAGAGCCCTGAGTCAGGCTCCCTGCTCAGCAGGACGTCTGCTTCTCCCTCTTCCTCTGCCCACACCCCACCCCCACTCATGCTCTCTCTCCCAAATAAATAAATAAATGTTTCTCCCTCTCCCTGTGCCACCCCGTAGTGCGTGCTCTCTCTCTCAAATAAATAAATAAAATCTTAAAAAAAAAAAAACCATAAAGGCCTTATCTCCAAATGCAGCCACATTCTGAAGTACAAACTGTAAGGATTTCAACATACAAGTTTTGGAAAGACACTACTCAGCCCATGACAGTGACTCCTTTGGACTACCTGTAACAGTCTGGCAGTTTCTGGAAAAGCTGAAATAGAGAATTACCATATGAGCCAGGGATTCTCCTCCGAAGGGTAAAAACCCAAAAGCATTGAAAGCAGATGTCCACACAATAACTTGTGCGTGAATGTTCAGAGCAAAACAATTCACAATAGCCAAAAGGTGGGAAAACTCCAATGTCTATTAACAGATGAATGAGGAAACAAAATGTGGTCCATCCACACAACGGAATACTATTTAGCCAAAAAAAGGAAGGAGGCACTGATCCAAGCTATGATACGGATGAACCTTGAAAAAGTACTGCGATTGCCTGGGTGGCTCAGTGGGGTAAGCCTCTGCCTTCGGCTCAGGTCATGGTCTCGGGGTCCTGGGATCAAGCCCCGCATCAGGCTCTCTACTCAGTGGGGGAGACTGCTTCTCCCACTCTCTCTGCCTGCCTCTCTGCTTACTTGTGATCTCTCTCTCTGCCAAATAAATAAATAAAATCTTAAAAATGTAATGAGCAAAAGAAGTCAGACACACAAGGCCATGTGTTGTGTGGGTCCATATATATGAAACGTCTAGAATAGGCAAATCCATAGAGAGAGAAAGCAGACTGGTGGTTGCCAGGGGCTGGGGAAGGAGGACGGGGACTGCTTCTGGGTCAAGGCTTTCTTTTAGGGTTGATGTAATATTCTGGGGTTAGATAGTGGTGATGATTACACAACTCTGAGAA